AAAAAAAAAAAAAAAAAGAAAGTCAACCATTGAGTTGGAAAACCCTGAGAGTGCTGGGTGTTCTTAAGGAGGCAGGGAGACTGTGAGTACCTGAGACGCTCTGTCCGAGCTGGGCCATTCATCAGGGTGTCCTCGCTAAAGCTGCGTCGCAGAGGCCTCTGCCAAGTCACAGGCCTGGAGACCACAGCCCCTGTGGCCTGGGACAGTGGGCGCCTGCCTGTCACGTAACTGTGAACCAGAGCGGGCATGCTGGGGAACTGCTCATCCTCCAGTTGAAAGAGAGCTGTGGGTCGGCCTGGCCGGGGACGCAGGGCCACACGGAACACCTCAAAATGGAGGGCTGAGCCCCGCCAGCGGCAGGAGATCACGGGGTGGCCCCCACGAGACCCAGAGGCACGAACCAGGAAGTCGCCATCTTGCTGAAGAAGAGCTTCAGCCTTCTGTGGATGGAGGTCAGCGGGCAGAGGAATTAAGAATGAGCCCAGAGCAGTGGTTAGTGGTGTCTCCCCCCATCATCACCCCCACCACCCAAGAAAAGCTACCCCAGTGAAACTTCTGTGGCAGACAAAGACTGGGAAGTTTCACACCAAGTTCTGTCCCCTATTCTGCTGGCACCTATGTAGACTACATTTCCCAGGCTCCCTTGCAGCTAGGGTTGTCATGTGATAACTGGCCAATGGGATGTGGGGTAGAAGGGCTATGGGAAATACCCAGACCTGGTCCATAAAACCCTCCTGCACAGTCTTGTAGGTTCTGTCCCCTATCTGTCAGCTGATATCCCCAAAGCCCTGAGGGATGACAGAACTACATGATACACTTGGCTCCCGACTGATTTATGGAGCTTTGCATCTCCACTTCTCAACCACCTTGGACTATGACATTAACATATTGACTGTGTTTAGCTGGTGATATATTGGGAATGTTTGTAACTAGCCACTAGGTGATGCTGACCGATGCAACATCCAATTTGGTAAATGCACTGGGCTTGTTATGCAACTATGGCTTCAAGAGACGCCATTAGCTGGATGCTTCCAGATTGGGGCCCCCTCTTTTATAAACATTTGCAAGCAGTCTTATGCTAGCTGTGGTGGCTGGTGTCAGAATAGGGTAGGAAGGGTGGGGCACAGTGGTTCACACCTGTAATGCCAGCACTTTGGGAGGCTGAGGCAGGGAGATTACTTGACATCAGGAGTTTGAGACCAGCCTGGGCAACATGGCAAAACCCTGTCTTTACCAAAAAATATAAAAATTAGCTGGGCGTGGTGGTGTGCACCTGTCATTCCAGCTACTCAGGAGACTGAGGTGGGAGAATTGCTTGAACCCAGGAGGCAGAGGTTGCAGTGAACCGAGATGGAGCCATTGCATTCCAGCATGGGTGACAGAGCGAGATCATGTCCCAAAAAAAAAAAAAAAAAAAAAAATGGTGTGGGGCAGCAGGCAGAAAGGCCAGGACCCCAGAGAGAGGCAAAGTAGAGGTGAATGTGGAGTCTGGGCACTGAATAATAGATGTAGCAGACACACGTGTAACCCTTACTATATGTCAAGCACTGCTTTAAATGTAAAGGGCATTAACTCCTGTAATTCCTGTAACAAGGGTGGTAGGTATTATTATACCTTTTTTCTTTTTTTTTCTTTGAGACGGAGTTTTACTCTTGGTGCCCAGGCTGGAGTGCAATG